ATAACTTGTATATGGCATTTTCAAAGGGAACATCAGTTTTGAATACCACAGAATTATAAGATGAGCCGTATCCAAAATATTCGTAGATGGAAAATGATACCCAAATAACTAGTTTTGGTATATTCGGACAAAGCGAAATTCTATAGCCTAAAGAACTGGTTGTATCATCAGTTTTTCCTGGTTTTAGGACCTGGTTTTAGTATTTTTTAAGGAATTATTTTTGTTTATGTTGATACTGCTTACTGCTTTGATTTTATTGTTTTTGGCAATTATGTTACAGTAGTTTAGGATTAGAGCAAGTTTCACTAATATTGTTTACTTAACTCGTTGAAGTAAAGTAGCATTGCAAGTACTGTCCTTATATATGTTCCTGCTCCAGATTATCTGTAAATTTTATGAGGAAAGAGGCTTGAAAAACAAACTGTGCGTTAAATGCGGTAGTTATTAATTAATGTTATGATTTGTTTTCGGTATTTCAAATTGCCTTAACATTGAATGGTAACTTTTACTTTCAGGAACTTTCACTTAACGCCGCGATGCAGAGTGATATTTTACCTCGCAATTATAAGTGTTGGATGAAATTGACTGATTATATCATGTATCCAAGTTGATATCATTTATAAATAAAATGCTATTGGTGTTTGCTATCACAGAGACTGTTTAACTGCAGTTTTTCATTCACGTGATGTCGCGGGACTCAGACAGCAAGGCATCGGAATTTCCAGGAATGTCTAATTCATCTCATAATATAACATGTTCTTTGAGGGAAATGTGGTGCATGTCAGGGAAGTGAGAGTGAAAGAAAAGCGTTCTTGAATAAGAACACAATTTCAGGATGAAGTCATCCATTCTTCCCTTCAGTGTAGGGCACTTAGCAAATATACTGCAACAGCGAGGGTGCGGATAGGTTGGCGTTCTTTCCTGTTTACTCCGGGAGATATGACTGTGACATATCCCGTAGCCGATAATAGACGTGATGGGATATATATACATATATATATATGTGTGTGTGTGTGTGTGTGTGTTTTGCCTATACACATCGGAGGCGCTATTGAAAACTAAGGCCTTAAGGAGGAATAACTCTAAGATAAACGAACTGAGTGATGCTATCAAAAATCTAAGAATTCAGCCAACAGCGGTACACATTCTGTAATAATCCCTAAAGATGCACTCATTCTTTCCAAGCTGCCATTAATGATAATGGATACTCGAGAAATTTTCACAACTCTTCCATTTCATATGTTACATCAATAGATGAAAATTTAATATTATTCCAATGTAAATCATATGAATTGTGAAATTATCTCAATGTACGATATTATACTGTACAGTTATAGCTTTTACAATACATTTATTAGCGTCTGAACTTATTGATTCTGAAGTGATCACTGTTAACGATCATTCTGAAATCAACGGAACTCTCTCCGAAATGATATTATTCCTCAGTGATGCCTCTTTTTTTTTTATTTGAAAAGAACGGAAATCGTTTATTTTTGAGTGTAACGGAAATTTCTGCCTCCAGACATTGAAGTTAAATTGCCGCAATACTACCATGGATGGCTTGCAAAATTCAAAATACTTAATAGCAGCTATAAGGTCAGTAACAATTTCAGTTATTTTAGGAATACACGAATGACAACAATATTAAGGCTTCAATGAGCAATTGAACATGAGGAAACAGCCTTATAAAGATAGGCCAAATTAGGCCAAATTTTAGGCCAAAAAAAGAACCTGGGCCAAATTTTAGTTAATCTGAAAAAATTCCAAACTTTTATACGCGCAATAAAACGTTGTGTCATGTGTGTACTTCTTTCATATTTTAATAATTTTTAAAAAAATTGTAGAAAATAGACATATTTAATCAGCTTAAGCAAACTAATCGCTTGGGATAACATCATGTCTCAAACAAAATAATATCATTATCATCAAATGATTTACGGGAGAGCTTCATGGCTTCCTCGCAGTACAGAAAAAAATCTTTAGCGTTAAAGACAATTTCAAAACATCTAAAAAGAGCTAAATTTGTACAAACTGTATGATTTAGGAGAGATTCAAGATATTTACGATATGATCAAGTCGAAAAATTTATCAGTTAGAATTTCGAATAACTTCAAGAAATCAAATTATAATCTAATAAGGGAACATTGAAACTCTGAGTAAATATCATAACTTCAGTATATTTCGATAAATCTGTAAAAAGATTAGATAAGGATTATCTATACGCCTTATCAAGACAATTGCTGCGTTATATTAATTTAGTGTCAAAAAATTTGAATATTGTGATATTTTATTCGTCACCAACATAATTCCCATTTTATAAAGAGATCCTTCAATTAGTTCGTTTGTTCATTTTGATATTTTACACGTGTTCTATTTATAGAAAATACGAAGAGACTCGTATTTGTTACTTAACTCACATGCGTAATGATTCATCGCCATCTTTACCTTTCTGCATTTCTGCTGTAAAAAGTTCAATGGCCAGAGACATTGCAAAATGTAAAAATTTTCTTAAACTTTTTTAAAATTTACTTTATGCTCTATGCATAATTTTTTCATAACTAATAATATCGAGTGAAAGGTTAAAGGTAAAGAGATAAAAATATTACCATTAAAAATTTTTCATTTAATTCTTTTCATCGTTTCTCATACATCTCCAAGTTTTTGATAAATGTTTCGAACTTGTATTTTATTCATATTTTTGCATCAAATTTACAATAAAGAATAAAATACAAAAAAAAAAACATGGAATATTAAAAACAAAAATATGAAACGGCACTACTCGTAAATATTTCATTTCAAATAAACTGAAAATAATGACACAGATAAAGCTCTTCAATCAGAAAAATACATTTTTGAGACAATTAATCGATAAACTATATTTCATTATGTATTAATGTTTCTCATTCAGAGAGTTTTTTTTTTGCGGTGAATATTGATTGTATGAATGGTAGTTTATCAACTAACTGATCGATAGTTTGTTAGTAAACTATCGATCATTGCAAAATCGCATATTTTTCGCATTGAAAAAGGATAGAATTGAACAAGCGAAATAATTTTAAACCACTCCATCAGAGAATTAGCAGGAAAAAGAAATTTCAATTTCTTTTTTGAAGAATCAAGAAGTGCTGAGTGGGGAACAATTTTTTGTCAGCTTATGACATAGGAAAACCACAACCTAAAATGTGTTCAGAGAATAAATGCACTTTTGACAAAATCAGAACTTACATTGAACAGGAAGGCAATTATAAGCTCATTGCTTTAAAAATATTTCAAAATTTAGGAGTCGGAAAGGAAGTAAAATGGAAAAAAAGTAAGGAAAAATGAGGTCTCTCAAAAAAAGAAACTTCCAGCGTTACTTTCTAAAATCTTATTTATTCTGAATGTAAATATATAAACGATTATCATAATCATTTTAAAAGTATTACAAATTCAATAAATTCAAAAAATAATAAATTGCGTATGAAAGTCCAATTATTTTAGGCTTTTCAACAGTAATATCTTTATCCGATTTACCAAATCACTAATTTCCACCTGTAGGCATGCAAAAAAATATAAAAAGATAAAAACCAATTTGATGAAAGGAACGCTTTTCTGTATTCGTTCTATTTCAAAATTTTGTTTTCCAGATTCAAAAGCTTCTAATGAAAATAATTTGGAAAACAAAAAACAGAATGAAAAGATGAGATGCATACATTTCAATTCGATTGTCGTTTGGTTCACATTAAGAAGCGAATAAATACTGAAATTGGAACTCCACAGTCTCGTCTAATTCAAATTATTTATGCATCTAATCGAAATAAATTAAATATTTATAGGATATACAAGCATTCAAAGAGCGGGGAAGGATGACAGCGGGAGAAAAATGAGGAAGGAGGAAAAAACACAAAAACACTAAGCTCATCGCACATTACCATAGTAAAAAAAGTAAAGAAGAAGTTTTCTCTAAATAATTTTGATTAATTATTTTGCACAAGCGTGAAAAAAAAGATTTTCACTGCAAACATAAATATTTAAAAAAAAAATTTAGTAAATCGTTTCCTGCGAATAATAAACATCTAATCATAAAATGAACGAAAATGGAATGATTTGATAGCTGATAAAAGGTGAATTTCGTTGTTGGAAGGATTGGTTGTAGCACAGAGTTAGATTATCAAATGATTACCTATTTTACTCGATAATCGATTTGTTTCAACTGTTCTTATTTTCTAATGAAAATTTAAATGATTCAAAATTTTTGATAGAAAAATGAAATTTGAAGCACAATTCAGATTACTGATACTAGTTAAATTTTTCATTATAAAAAAGTCAAATCTTTTTTTTTTTATTAATCAATTTTCAAATCAGTATATTAAGCTATGCTAACAACAACAATAACAACCAAAATCAATTTCCGGTCTTCATATTAATTTATGATATATAAAAAAAAAACTATACATGAGCAGATATAGTTTCCTGCCATCCGTTCTAAATCTATATAGTTCTAGAAATTGTTTTGTATGAATTAATAACCCGCAAAAATCAATATATTAAAAACCGAAATACAATTTTCCTTTAAAATTACCAAATTACAGTTAGTATAATTTGTAGACTGTTAAAATTATCTTAACAGTTATTATAGGATTGATTTGTATCGACAAGCTAAGCATTGAATTAATTTAGCAAAGATAAAAACATTTGGTACATAAATGACGATAGATGAGCGAAAAAAGGAAATAGTAGGATCAAGCTCATGGTGAGAAAAAAAGAAATAAATTTTATTTCATAGCAAGAAATACCTAATATTATACATAAAAATGCTCCTTTCTGAAATATAGTTATTATTATGCATATCAATCTTTGGATGAATTACCTTTTTTTGTATATTACCGGTGGTAAGAAAAGATTTTTGTTGCTGTTGTCGATTAGGATTATCAGTTCGACCGTATGTTACTGATACCGGATTATGGCAATGTGTGGAACGGCCTTTTAATAAATTTTGATCCATTTCCACTTCAATATTATCAACTTTGCACCCATTTCGGTGGACTTACATAATCATCTTTTAATCGATATTTTATATCACCACCATTTGTGCGTCGGATAGGTGTTGGACGTGTACCACTTTGAGTTATTATTCTGAAAATAAAGAGGATTTGAAAAGTTGATAAACATTTTTTTCAACTAATTTCAATCTGATTTTTTAAATTCAAAAAATTTTCAATTCTATTTTGCTCTTCATATTCAGCTGCTAAGATTCATCCATCATTCCAAACATTTCATTATATTATTCCTTCATATTTTAATGATACAATTCTGCATTTTAAACCTTTCTGTTAGTTGCTAAAAAATTTTATTATTAATTTAAATCTATCAATTTTATTTTAATTTATTTCAGCAAGTTAAAGTATAATATTAAATAAGAGACTAACTTTTGCAATTTTTTATCAGGAGTAGCAAACTGCGGATAGTATGGATTGATCGTATAGCGATCGCAAGGCTGATTATTCGGCATTAGTTGCTGCCGTTCAGAAGGTAGTGCCGGAGCCTTCGGGGGTGGAAGATTCGGAGGTGGGGGCCTTAATGAAAACGAATATCTGGTAGTTGTGATACCTTGTGCCGATTCACTATTTTTAGCAGCCTGATTTTTCCGTAAGAAATGAACCGCATAAGTTATTAATGTAAATACAACAATTAGCACCAATAGACCACCATAAAAGTAAAGATTTGATAACACTCCATTATCCGACCCTGGAAAATAATTTATTCGTTATGGATATTCATTAAATTAGTTGATTTGATTTCTTTTTATTTACATTTAACCGTATTAACACTGTTAACAATGAACGATAAATAAATTACCTGTCATAAAACAGTAAAATTTTAATGTCGTAAAATTTTCAAGGACTAACTTGCAATAACATGAAGATATGCTGATCGATAAGCGATATCACCATGAGCATTTGTTACTACACAAAGATATGTCCCAGAATGCTCATATCGTACATTGGGAATGATAAGCCTATTTAAGCTTACACCATCTGATAGTTCAGCACTTGTTTCCGGTTTTTCTAATAGCAAAAGATGCATGTTGTTTGCATGAATTAATGTTGCATTTGCATTTGTTTGACGAATTGCATTCGGATCTTCCACTCGTTTCAACCACTAAAATCGAGAAAACAAACTCATTATTTACCTTAATATATCACACTTTCTCTAGTTTCATAATCATAGATCAATCTTATCCCATTCATTCAAACATCTCACATTTGTTAAATTTTTTTTCGCTTGTTTGGTTTTCAGTGATTTGATAATGATTTATCCCCTTTCAACTTCACCGCTACTTTTAAATTTGAATATTGAATACATATGACAATATTTATCTTTAAAATCAATACCGCTTGAACGTATATCAGAACCTGAATCGGAATCAGTTTGAATATCAATACCATTGTTCAATCTTAGCAATGTCAAAATAAGAATAAATGGTTGATATCAATAAAAAGTATCAATCTAGCTGCGTGAGAAACGTGGAAATAATAATACCTTAATAAGTGGTTGCCGTTGATTCTTTACTCTACATTGGAATTGGGCAGTTCGACCAACTCGGACAGTGTTATTGAAAGGTTCATCAATGACTGGATAAAGTTGCGCATTTGTCTGATCAACAGACCAGCTTTCACCATCCAAACCTTCGAAGAAATTTTCCACATAAACGTGAAATGCCGCTTCGATACTTCCGTGTTCGTTTTCTAGTTTACATACATATTTACCACCTTCGTTGGGTTGCACATCGCTTAGGTAAAGTATCGCCGAGGAATAATGGTAAGTAATTTCTGAAATTATTTATCATTATTCCAAAGAAAAATATATGAATCACTTTTATTATAGTAGTTTGATTCATAAATGAGAATTGTGATTTTCTTAAGATTTCAAAAAAGATTGATAGTCAAAATTTAAGAAATGATATGAATGATCAATAATCATTAATCATGTTTTATTTCCATATTAATACCTCGTTCTAATGCCTTCCCATCTCGTAGCCAAGTAATGTGTGGCAGTGGATTTCCTTTTGCAGGACATTTTAGCAATAAAGCTCCACCAATTGTTATCCTTACTGGATTTGTCATCCAATTTCGAATTTCTGTTTCGTTCTTCCACAGTGGTGGAGATGCTGGAAGCATTCTCTTCAAGTCAATTACTAGACATCATTTGAATTCATGACATTTCTTATCCTGTTGCGCTAATTTAATAAAATTCAATAAAAGTATACAAAGGTTAGTAATGATTTGGACGGGCAAAACAATAATGGAATCTTTTTGTTTACTTCGCAACATTTCAAGAATTTTAAATATTTTGCGTTGAATAAAAATTTTATTAAAGCATGAATTTATCCGCTCAAAAATGTCACTTATTTCCCATATCATAAAACAAATATGATCTCAACTTACTTTTTGATGTCATGTAAACTCCATCAAGTGAATCATAGAACTTATTAAATTTTAAATATTAGAACTCTCAAAGAAAGTTTGTTTTTCTGCTCGCCCAATTAAGAAATGCTTCAATTCATTGCAGAAACATTGATGATGATTTCAAAACAGAAACAATTGATGATTTCATTATTTTTCAATGTTTTAAAGTATTTTGCAAATTTTGGCAATCGTTACTGTCTTTTCAAAACAATAACTCTCAATTACTGTCTCAATTACAACACGCAGTTATCTGCAAATTTTTTCATTTTCTATTTATCTCTTTAGTAGCAACATCATTCCCTTTTTTTTCAGGTGTAAATAAAAGTTAATTTCAACTGACTGCCATTTCTGTTTAATAATGCATCAATTCTCAGCATTCACTCGAACAATTTACATTCTCAAATTTTGGTTTAAAAACACTACCACAACACTTGCAGTCAATTTGAGTTGAGTAATTAAAATAAATTACCGTTAGTGGTGAGTGTAAGTGTGCTGTCAGTATTTTGCTCATTCTCCACTGCTGGATCATAAAAAGTTACTGTAAAATTTAATTCTCGATGTCCAAATCCATTAACCACTTGACATTGATATATTCCACCATCAGATAGTTGAGGATTACGAATTTTCAGTTCACGATCTGATCGCGTCAATTTAAAGCGATTGTTGAAGTCGAGTCCAATCTTTAAGAATATAAGAGAGATTTTACGATTAGTTAGGCTATTTCAGAACAAAGGATTAATGCATATATTTTTGTTGAAGAAGTGCCTGGTTCGTAACAGGACAAGATAAATGACATCCAATAAGATTCTTTAGTAAAACATTTCCGTGTTTATTTGTTGTTCCAAAAATTAGTTCATGCTCACTGGCATGATCTTTTACGCTTAGTTTTCTGTGGAATGACCTCATTGTATCACACTGACCTTTGAATAACCTCAAAATGATTGTATAGCATAAACTTTTGATTCCCGCCTCAAATACACAAGTCAATGTGTATCCCAATTTAATGAAAATAGGAGATCGAAAGGAATTAAATTTAAAATAAATGATTGTGTTGTTCATTCACTCAGGACAAGTGAAACTGTAATCCATAACAAAATGAGTAAATTTATTTTCTTTTAAAAATCAAATTTTTAATTATCAACTTTTTACTTTCTCTTTCCAACAATTCCTTTTTTCTCTTCTTCTTTTGTAAAACCAAGCAAGATGTGTTGAATAAATTTATCTAACATTTTCCCATTTCACCAACTCTCAAAATACCTCGTCTCTTTTTTTTTAAGTACCCGAGAGATAACCCATACAATCATCATAATAATAATAATAATATCAATTAGTTGAAGTAGACAAAGAAAAAAAAAGAATCTTTCTTTTGACTAAAATTTACTAATCAAATGAGCTTTTTCCTTTTTTTTAAATACTATTTACATGGCATAATGATTACTGCAACAGTGATAAATTAATCGAAATGGCAGATATATCACTTTGATCAATCACATTATTCAGATAAGACAGTTAGCGAAGCATGGAAGGATAGGAATGAGAAAAGAGAAAGAAAAAATAGACGCAAAAGTTTGGGAAATGATTGATTGATAAGGTTTGTATGCAATATCGATATTATTCTAATCAAATATGTTAGCAATATTAGCTACGGAAGCATTCGAAAATTGCTTCATAAAAACTAAACCATCGTTGTTTCTCTTTCATTGTTTGTTAAAAAGAAAGTTTCACTTACAGTGAGACTATAAAATGTTATCTGTTAGATTTATCCTTCAATGGATAAATATATTCAGTTTTAAGTATTTAAAGCAATTAGTAAAGTTTAATTATGTGCTTTAATTGCAAGAAGGATAGATGAAGATTGTGATAACAAGGTTTATTGAAGGTTGATTAATTAAATGATAAAAACCTCTTTTCATTGTTTCAACCCACATAAATATCAATATCTTCGCAAAATTTAATATTATTCACCCTAAATTTTTCATCCAAAATTCACTGTGAGAAAAGGATTGGTCAAAAAACAGACAATTTACACCTGCAACTCTTGACCAATCTTTTCGATTAGCAAGATCGATTATTACAAAAAGTTAGATAACTAAAATGATATTCATTTTAACGGAAGATATTCGATGACGCATTTTGATATTGAAAATTTTTATGTTTAAAAATTTTTAAGCAATTTTTGAAGTGAAGGAAGAGAGAGAATAAGAGAGAAAAAAAAGGAGAAGAAATAAAAGGAAGAAGAAAACAAAAAAATGAAGAAGTACAGATGAACTTACTGGCTCGTCGTTTTTCTTCCACTGAATCATTAAAAGGTCATCGTTCTTCTCCTTGACAGGACATATTAGTCTAAACTGCTTCGTCCCGATTGGAATACGAAATTCCGTTTGTGATGGTATTGATAAATCTGGTGGCGCTGAAACCTTTTTTTTTAACTAATCAAAAAATAAAACGTTTTTTCATTCGAATTATTGAAAACTTGAAATGGGAAAAAACAAATAAACAATACTTGAATTGACAGATTGATATTGCAAAATTCATCGATCACAAAACTGTGACTGATGTTATTACAATATTGTGAGAAAATGAAAGATATGCAGAATAAAAATAAAAATTATAATCTTTATAATTTCACATCTTTTTTTTAATACAATTTTTGACTCACAACACTTTTTTATCTTATATCAACTGAAGCAGATTTATTCAGCAGGAATTTAAATGAATTTGAAAGGGACTGATAAATTTGACCTCTTAAATTATATTAAAATATAATAAATTCTTTACTCAGAGACAATATGAATTATCATGTTGCAAGTTTTTAATTCCAAACTTGTTTTTTTTTATTCTAATACTCCATTTTTCAAATATTTCTCCATCCTCTCTTCCCTTCCCGCTCCACATCCCTGTGTTTTAATGTGAAGCAGTGTGACGTTTTACGGCGATAATTTTGCGGACATGTCAATCTTCTTTGCCTCTTTCTTCTCGTCGCATTGGGGACACAAGCTGTTTAGGGGACATCGACGAACAAGAGCGGGAGAGGAAGAAGGATGAAAATGGAAAAGAACTAACCAGTCAGTCCATCAAACAAAGGAATCAAAATCATAATGACATTATCAGAGTGGACGATCTTTTGGAGTAGTTAAATGCCAGTGGCCAGTTTGCACTGGTATGAAGGAACAAACAAACGGCAATCAAGCAAGCCATAAGAACCTATTCAAAACGTCATCTTTAAATTCTTTCTTTCCGCTTGTCCTCCAATAACTCCGTTCCACCATAACCTTCTTCATCAAGCAACAAGATTAAACTGTCAATGTTAGCCAATTTCAGAGTGGAAGAAAAGGATAGAAAGAAAACTCGGCTACACTGTATTATGTTTTTCATTTTATTTCACCATATTTCTGAATTTGTTGAATTCCTTTTATTACAAAGAACTGTCAAACTTTCCACATACACACACATGCGCACACAATTATCCCTTCATTTTTTTTTCTCTCTCTCTCTCTCTCTCACTCTGTTTCCGGATCATACTGTTAGTGTTGAATAATTGACAGCCGGAAGTAGAAAAAAGTGAAACAATTGAAATATATTTTGCTTGAAATATAAATCAAAAAGAAAAGAAAAGAAACAATATAACTATAAATGAACTATTTTACATTTCAATATAATATAATATATTGCTCGCTAAAAAATGAATAACTATCATTCAGCAATAACTTTTGTGAAGGTGGCAATTTTATTTGAAAAAAAAAAAACTATAAAATAGAATATATTATAAATGAACTGTATGCCAAATATAGATTAAAGAAAATAATATAAAACGATTTACAGCATGATAAGTATTTTTTGTTTGGCAAATAATGAAATGCATAAATGAACCTATATTTTTGCCATCGTTCTATTGATACGCTAAATGACCTATGTAAATTTTAAATAGTTTGGATGGAAATTTTCCAATTTTCACAACTTTTCATTTTTATCGGGGCGTTTTTGCTAATTTCAAACAATTGAATTAATTAATTTTATTGCATATTCTCTCTTCCACTTTTTTGTATATTAACTTGATTTAATATAAAAATGAAAAATTTATTCCCTCCTCCTCTACAATTTTTTTTCGCAAATAATTTCAATGAGGCGGCGTAGTTCAAAAGGTGGCGGTTTTCAACAAAAACCCATATTTATTCTTTCCTTTTCTGCATTGTTATAATGTTGATCAAAGGAAGAAACAGTTTCCTTTTTTCTTTTCGTTAAATTATAAAATTTTACAGTACTTTAAGAAAAAAATCTATTATCGAAAATTTAGCTATCGTATTGTTCAGATGCCTTTAATCGAGGTGATTTGGTAGAAATCTTATGAAACAAAAAATTGAATTAAATGTTCCTTATCAATTTGAAAAACAAGCATACATATTCCCTATCATTTGTCGGCAAATTTCAAAAAAAAGGAAGAGAAAGAAGAAAAATCCATTGAAACTTCACAGAAATCATTCAGGATTATCCAGACGATCGTCTCAATGTACCCATTATTTCGCTTATTTACCATTAATTTCATTGTTTAATGGGAATTTGAAAAAGAAAATTTGAAAATCACCGCTTCGTCAGCTTTATACATCAAACATTATCTATTCATGACAAATAAAATATGATCAGTGAAGGAAATTTTTGGCTGATAAGAATTTGAAAAGGAAACATGTCGCAGTGTTTGCAGCGAGCATGAGCATATCATTTGGTTGAATGATAAAGCCGGTCGATAGAATTTTCCACTAGTTTTTTTTATTAGCATCATTAATTATACCTAATGTTCGGATATTCAATAATCTCAACAAAATTCCCATACAAAACTAACTAAATACGTCTTATATTTATACTAAAAATAGGATACCATCAATATGTGTTAATATTTATTGATTGTCGGAAATTTTGGCAACAAAAATATTATCAAAAAAGAAAAAAAAGGAAAACAAATTTCTTCAAAATTAATTGATGATTATTACACTATACTAAATGGCTAAATCCATTCCCATTCATTCAATATTTCAATTACTAAAGCATCAAATCATTTTGTCAATTTTTTGTTCCAACTTTTTTATTGTAAAGCAAAGCAACTTCGAAACTGCTGCTACTTCGTGGCATTTTTGAGAAATGG